GGGTTCTGGGATTGAGCCCCATATTGGGCTCCTGCTGAATGAGCTCTGCTTGTCCCTCTGCCCCTCCCCCTGCTCATGTGCACTCTCTTTCTCAAATAAATAAAATCTTTAAAAAAAATCTTAAAACCTTAAAAAAAAATCTTTAAAAAAGTTTTATGTGGATTTTTGACTGCATGGGGGATCAGTGACCCTAACTCATGCGTTGTTCAAGGACTGACTGTAGAAGGAAATGGGAGTAAGACTGAAGGAGTAAAGTAACTTTCCTAAAGTGAGATGCAGACAATTGCAGGTTAGATCTAAAATAGAAGACTCCTGACTTCTAGTCCGGTGCTATTTCATTTATAATACGTGCCTCGTCTACCAAAAGGACAGAACTTCTCTCAAGCTATACAAATCCAATACTTCAAAATTAATGCATGTAACCTCCTGATGAAGCTCTAAACAAAATATTATCTTTCCTGCGCAAGGTATACCAGTCAAGAGATACAACCAATAAATGTCTCTTGTGAAAAGTATCCACTGAAAAAACAAGTGTAGCTTCTCTGCCTCCAAGAGAGAACTTATTGAATAGTAATAGGACTATGCCAGCTCAAGATGCCAACTCTCAGGTTCTCAAACCACAGTATTTTGTTTGACTTTTTATGACCATTTCATCAAAAGGAAAAAAAAAAAAGTGATGGATTTTAAAGGTCCTCTTCCTTCCCCTCCTAGACCAATGATTTCAAGTATGATCTCCAGAACAGCAGCAGCAGTAACAAATCACCTGGATACCTGTTAAAAATGCAAACTCTCAGTCCTCACCAAGACCTACAGTATCATAAACTCTAGGGATGGGGCCCAGCAGTCTGTGTTTTAACAGACCCTCCAGATAATTCTCATTTATACCAGAGTTTGAAAACCATGATCCTGGACTATCAGTGCTTTGAAATATTTGTGTCTGTTTCTCTATGTACACAAGCTTTCCAAAATTCTCATTTTAAGAATGCCTTCTCCGTACTAAATTAGTTGAACTGCTAGAATATATTTTTAATGACAAGTTTCACTTCATCCTGTCCAGTGTTCCATGAGTTTTGGCTCATGCAGAACAAGCATAAAACCTTAAATACAAACTGCTATAATTTAATAGTTAGCCTCACATTTCATTGACTCCATACCTATACAAATTCCATTTAATAATCTTGTCTTTCTCATAATGAAATATTTTCTCATTAGTAACAAGCCTTATGATACAGTATTTTATTTCTTATACAATAATACTTTGTATGTGGAGAATTATATTACTTTTTATGTCCTATGTTTTCTATAAGCAAAAATCCTAAATACTTGAGGGTACAAGTTTTCTAATCTGTCATGCATTTTAATCCTTTAATACTTATTCTTTTGCCCAGTTTCTGCAGGTTGCACTGCGGAGCTAATGTGCCAGAAGGTACAGGTCTTGCATTTCTCTTTCTTTCTTCTATTGTCTGATAACAAATGTAAGTGGGAATGTTAGGAATTGTTAAAAGGAAGTAAATGAATTCTTTGTCTCACTCTGCACAGATGTGCTGAATTCACATTTCCCAAAGGAGAAAGAAGATGTTCAAAAGGAAATAAGGGTCACAGTATATATAACAAATGTTTAAGGAATCAGGATATATAAACCACAAGGTCAGGTGGCTTGCTCCTCAGAATTCTGGATGATGTGGTAAGAAAGGAAAATGTTGAAGGCTAGATGATAATCTAGGACACACGGTACATATTTCGACAAGTCTACAGCTGCATTAAACAAAGATGTGCCTACTTGTTTGAAGTTAGAATTTGGCAATTAGTAATCTATTTAAAACCTTTCAATAATAGGTGGTAAAAATGAAAGAAAGCCAGTACTTACATTTTAGGAAAAGTATCTAGGAAAATTTTTAAAAATAAGAATTTAAAGATATCAATATTTAAAACATAAAGTTAACAACAGAGAGAAAATGCTTAAATATTGTGGGGTATTTTTTCCCCAGGCAAAAACAGAAAAAGGGGCAGGGGGAACAGCCCCAAAGTTGAGACTAAAATGTCTGAATTATAGAGATATCTATAGACATTTTAGCCAGACAACAATAAGGTTTTCAAACAGACAGATAACCTGTCAGGTCAATAAGAACAGTATTCAGCAGGAGCCACTTCAATGGACTGAGACTAGACTGGAAGCAAATCCCACAGGCAGCCTATTTTTTTAAGTGCCAAATAAGAATGACAAAATTGTAAAAAGTATATAGGAAGGATGGAAATAAATTATTAGACACCTTTATAAAAACCTGCTTGATTTAACACAGTATGTCATTATACCCAGAATGCAAAGAAGAAATGAAGAGACTCTAAAATAGTATTAGAGAGAAGAAAATGCACAGGAGAAATGATCAAGATCAAAACTCTAGTCACTAACAACTGAAACCACCATGGATTATAAAATTATTAGGGAGTTCGAGTTACGATTTAATATTTATATGACGAACATCACTGTTAAAACATTTCCCAAATCAATAAAGCCTACAACTTCTCTACAGTTCCTTGGAGTTCTGCACTTATTTAAGTGCAGTGTCTTTACTCTATTTCCTATGACCAGCTTGGTAGGTACGTAGTCACCTGGAAAAGGAAAGCAAGCCAATTTCAAATCGAGCAACTGAAAGGAATCTGTGCTAATTTTCACAACTAACAAAGAAAACTTCCCAGAGAGCCAAATACCAAAAAGTCACTAACAAAAGCTTTATAGTTTATACGAGTGTGGCAACAATTAGCATATCCCAAATGATAAACTTACAAATTACCATACAAGAGAACAGTTCAAGTCTATATTAAGATAAGGTCATTGATTTTTGCAACCAGACAAAAAAATCATATCCCTGTATGTTTGATTCTAAATTAGAGCCCCTTGGAATATTAAAGTTATTAAAAGCTCTAGGGGACAGAGGAACGATACAAATGACAATACTGTAGTTTCATCAAACATTTGCAACTAATACACAGTGGCTCTATTCTTGGAATGAAGCCAGTGTATTTGATTTTTTTTTAACAGAAAGATTTAGGATAGTAACCAACTAGCAAACTTTTAAAATATTTTAGAAAGAAATTACACAATCCTTTGAATCTTGCTAGGAAAAAGAAATAAATGGAGGAGCAACAAGGGGGAAAAACCAAGTTTGCTACCATCTGCTCTCATTGAGGTATTATTTTTTCCACATTTACTTTTACAATTTTCTTTGAAAAATACTGTCCACCTATTCATCCCTTAGAGAATAATTGAGCACAATATTAAAAGAAAACAAACAAACCATCCTATACAAACCTCAAGGAAATATTAATTGGTCCAGATGTTTATGAAGATTTATGAAAGAGAAACAGATGGGATAAAATTTTTAAAGATAAAAGAGCAGGCTTTCTGATATATCTTTTCCCAAAAGTGGGTAGAATTAGAAGATAAGCATCTAATCAGTCCTTAATTAAAACAAAGAGGAATGCCCGTGATTCAGAGCAATAATAGGTTGCCCATTCCCAAATAACCTATGAAACCAGGCTTGCTTAAAGAGGGTAATTGGTAAGGTTCTCATACTAATTTTTTAGATACTATCTTTAGATACATTTTCCACTGAAAAAGAAATGAGTATGAGAAGTGTTCTGTTGTTGAAATGAAATGTTTCTGGCTTCAATTCTTTCTAATGTTCTCCCTTTCCAGTTCTCCTCATCTCAATCCAGAAACCTCTCCATGCAGAGTTCATGCATTTTCCTTCTCTATTTTAGTGAAAACATACCACATTGATTGTAAGAATCTTACTAGATTTCCATTTGTTTTGCCTCAGCTCCTACATTAATCCAAACAATAAGGGCCTTTAAAACATTCATAAATAACCTGCTGCTGCTGGCCCCTAGGAGCCGAGTGCTGCAGTGTTAAGCAACAACAAATTTCATAGTTCAAGAGGCACAGTTAAGGAAAAAGGTTGCTCAGGAAATCACTCTTATTCAGCACAAAGATCCTTAAAAATTGCATGAAATCAGTCAAGTAACTATAGAAACCAATTTCTTCAGCTCCATATCACACGTCTCACACCTCAATTGTCTTTATTATCGTCTGCTGTCAGATCCTTAATCAGAAATGTGAACAGGCTTGATGATTTATTCAGCAGGGAAAAGAATCTGTAGGTCAAGTGAAAAATTTCACACACACACCCAAACACACATCACATCTTCAACCTTAGGTACTTTCATTTCCTTCTGTTCTCAGCAGCTCTGGGGGCAACTCCAGTGAGATCCAATATTAAGGCTCAATTAAAATAAGCTCCAATTAGTGGAGCTTTTTTCTCTGGGGCTAGAAAAGTCAGGAAATGGATATTGGGAAATGTAAAAAGTCAGCTACTGAGAGGAGGCTGCAGACATAAATGAACTTATTTGTTGATTTCTACAGTTGCTATGCAGAGGCCTCTGGGAGTAAAAGCTTAACCAGTCTAAGCTATAAACTAAAACCCCTGCAGCTAAACATGAACTGTGTGAAACAAGGGCTCCATTCCAGAACAGAAAACTGCTGGGCCCAGAAAATTAAAAGCCAGAGGCGTTTTCCATTTAAAACTAAATCCCAGTACCACCTCCCAGCCAAAGAATTATAAGCAGTATCAGATTTACAAAACGAACAATTACCCTGGAAAAATGTAGCCTATTGTACAGTCCCAGATGCTAAATCTCAGAAGTTTCTTTTCTTTCTTTTTTTTTTTAATCCCACATTATATTCCTCCAAGTACACTGCTGTAGTTTACAAAGAGCCATTTCTAGACAGGCCTAAGCTTTGAAAATAAATTTTAAAAAGAGAGCACATAACTCATTGACCTCATTTGAAGTACTGCCCTTGCCTTCAGCAGTTCCTGTCCTTCCCCAAGGCTTCTGCAAATGGTATGCAACAGCAAAATAAACCCTGACCTAATTGCCAGGAGAGAGCTGCCAACCTTCCCTCCAACACAAAGACAAGCATGGTAACTTGAAAGTCCTACCTCTTTGGCTTTCTGCTTTAATCTCAGCTGTTCTGGATCTTCTTTGTTGGAACGACTCTATCAAAGGAAAAGAAAATTTTAATAGAAATTACTAGCATCTAAACACCATAGTTGTCGTTAAATATTTAATAAATGACAATTTTCTCTTGTGATTGAAAACCTTAGCTCCAGGGGAAAATGCCTCAATCCAGTCTGGTGCACTCCCTCCTTTACGCCCCCTCCCTCTCATCATCTGGGCCTGCTGTTGCAGTTCTAGCCTGGAGGAAGCTTATACTGAAAATGATGCTAACAATGTCAGTCAGGTCCAGTTGAGGCATGACGTTGTTCTTGTTAGAACACTAAAAACTAAAAAAAAAAAACGGATGGTACAGATGAAGGAAAAGAAAAGAAGGATAATTGCTGGCTCAAAGAAAGAAAGCAATCAACATTGGCTAATCTTCAGATAAAGCCATTTTGGAAAAACATGGTATTTCAAGGACTATTAAAATCAAGAACCTCACAGAGTGATGTATGAAATTGTTGAAAAACTATACTGTATACCTGAAACTACTATTAACACCATATGTTAACCGGAATTAAAATAAAAATAAATAAAATCAGGAGCCTGACTTTGAACCAAATCAATCTCTTTAAAAGTATAATTTTTAAAAACTAAGTAAGAAATACATCCCAATGTTTTCATTAGAGTATCTCATCATCTTTGGGTCCTCCATTGCATTTAATTGAATGCTTTGCACAAGTAAAAGTCCAATAACTGTTTATTCAATATTGTTTTCCATACTGATTCAGTTCAACATTCAAAAATGAACAATCTTACAGGACTGCTATAAGGAGAGAGCTATCTTCTATATGCAATGCTATAATGAAACAAGTGGTAAGAAACTTCATTTCTGACACTATGAACTTTTGTCCACTAAAAAATAATGCTCAGAAGTATTCTTTTTTCTCATTCTAGCACAAAGTTATCTAACTCCTTATAAATCTGAATATTTGTTCTATAAAAGGCAACATCAGCTAAATACAGCTAGTAAAATAAAAGCTAAAAGTATTTTCTTATTACTAAGTTTACTTGATTTTTTTTTAAAGATTTTATTTATTTATTTGACAGGCAGAGAGGCAGGCAGAGAGAGAGGAGGAAGCAGGCTCCCTGCGGAGCAGAGAGTCCGATGCGGGGCTCGATCCCAGGACCCTGGGATCACAACCTGAGCCGAAGGCAGAGGCTTTAACCCACTGAGCCACCCAGGCGCCCCTATTTGATTTTTTTTTTAAAGATTTTATTTATTTATTTGACACAGAGAGAGAGAGAGATCACAAGTAGGCAGAGAGGCAGGCAGAGAGAGAGGGGGAAGCTGGCTCCCTGCCAAGCACAGAGCCCAGTGTGGGGCTCGATCCCAGGATCCTGGGATCACGACCTGTGCCAGAGGCAGAGGTTTTAACCCCCTGGGCACCCAGGTGCCCTACTTACGTTCTACTGATGTATCAGTGATTTTGTTAAAGGGAAGTACAAGAAAAACCATTTAGATTTAAGAGTGCCTTGTAATTTTTTTTACAATTCTATTTATTTGAGAGAGAGAACAAATGAGGGTGGGGAGGAGTGGGAGAGGTACAAGAAGACTCCCCGCTGAGCAGGGATCATAACACAGGGCTCAATCTCAGGACCCTGGGATCATGACCTATGCCAAAGGCTGCCACTTAACCAACTGAGCTACCCAGGTGCCCTAAGAGTGCCTTGTAATTTTAAACACATGAAGTGTTTACCTACATAAGGCTACCAAAATCTAGTAACTTTTTTCTTCATTTTTTCCCCTATCTACTAAAACAACTTAACCCAAACTAAGATAAACTCCTTTATTATTCCACCTATAATATGAGGAGACAATAAGCATATATATATATATATATATATATATATATGTACTTATTTTAAGAAGGTGTATGTATGGATACATATGTATACATATGTATGTATGTATATATATTTCTGAGTGTATGATTTTTGCCCCACTATGAAATGGACACATTTCAATATCTTTATTACTTAACCAATATTTATTGATTATTCATACATGAATAATCAATATTGATTTATATCAATGATTGATATGTCATAATTTATATCAATGATTTATATAATGATTGAATATCTTTATTATTTAACCAATATTTATTGATTATTCATAGATAAATTCTACACTGTGTGCCTCTGAGTCTGGAAATACAGTAAAGAAATAGTAAGACAAAGTCTCTGCTTTTGAGTGACTTACATTTTAAGAAAAGAAAATAATAAAACAAAAAATTTTATAAAAATTAAATAGTTATGATATATAAAACATTTATGATGGGGAAAAATAAAAAACAATTACTGATAGTGATAAGTGCTATAAAGAAAATTGGACATTGTGATAGAGAGAAGGAGTGTGTGTGGGGGGTTACTACTTTAGCGAGGACAGGAGGAGAGAAGACATCTAAGAAGTGACATTCAAGTAGAGCTCTGAATGACAAGAAGGAGGCACTCATGCAAAATTCTGGGGGAAGAATACTCGAGTAACCTAAAGGCACAGTCATTGCAAAGCCTTAAAACGGGAACGAGCTTGGTGAAACTGAGCAAAGGAGGAAGGCCTGTGTGGCTAGACCATGGAGAAAAGTTGTAAGAGGTAAGGTTACAGACCATGTAGGCCAAGATACAGAGCTGAGTTTTAATTCTAGGTATAATTTTTTTTAAAAAGCCACTAAAGGGCTTGGAGAACAGGAGTGAGATGCACTGCTCTGACACTTTAGAAAGATCACTCTGGCTACTATGTAGCTAATGTAGCACTAAAGGGATCTGATATCAGAGGTACAAGCTTACAGCACAACTCAGGAGACTGCTCTAAAACAACTATGGTTTTAGGAAAAGAGAAGGGAAACTTGGACTAAAGTCATAGCAGGTAAGATTGGGTTGAAATATATTTTGGAGGCAGGTCCAACTGGATTTATTGATAGACTGGATGTAGGGTATGAAGTAAAGAGGAGAATCGAAGATGATTTCCTAGGATTCTTGCCTAGTGCTCACTTCAGCAGCACAGATACTAGGATTCTTGCGTAAGCAACTGGAAAGATGAGAATGCCAACTTTCTAAGACAGTAAAGAGCAAAGCAGGTGTAAGACGTAGGACCTTAACTTTCAGGTTGAGACGCCTAATTAGCAGTCTGTGATGCACACCTGGCACCCTCAAAGAAGGTCAGTGTGACTGGAGCAGAGCTAGTAAAGAAGGGAGGGATATGACAGGTAGGCAATAACCTTTTAAAATCTGGTAGGGGGCCCGCCTGGGTGGCGCAGCGGGTTGGGCCTCTGCCTTCGGCTTGGGTCATGGTCTCGGGGTACTGGGATTGAGCCCCGCATCGGGCTCTCTGCTTGGCGGGCAGCCTGCTTTCCCCCTCTCTCTGCCTACTTGTGATCCCTCTCTCTGTCAAATGGATAAATAAAATCTTTAAAAAAAATCTGGTAGGAAGTTTGGATTTTAAGTGCAAGAGGATGTCACTGAAGGTTTTCAAGTAACAGAGACACTCATGATTTGTTATGAAAACATTATTCTGACAAGAGTATGAAAAATGGGTTGTACAAGGAGAAGGAGATCAGTTAAGAGACATGGTAAACGTCCACTGAAAGAGGATTTAGACCAAAGTGGTGACAATAGTGATGAAGAGAAGATGATGAATACATTTGGGAAACATAATAGGAAGTGAACTGCATGTAAGGAGAGAAGACTCCTAGGTTTTCTGGCTTGAACATCTGGGCAAATAGTGTCATTTACTAAGTTAGGAAAACCTATTAAGAGTAAAACATATTTTGGGACGCCTGGGTGGCTCAGTTGGTTAAGCAGCTGCCTTCGGCTCAGGTCATGATCCCAGCGTCCTGGGATCGAGTCCCACATCGGGCTCCTTGCTCAGCGGGGAGCCTGCTTCTCCCTCTGCCTCTGCCTGCCATTCTGTCTGCCTGTGCTTGCTCTCTCCCTCTCTCTCTCTCTCTCTCTCTGACAAATAAATAAATAAATAAATCTTTAAAAAAAAAAAGAGTAAAACATATTTTGTGGGTGGATGAAAATCAGAAATTGTTTTGGACACATGATAACTGAGATTCCTATTGGCAAACCGCATGGAGACTTCAAGTAGGCAGTTAGCTATGACTCCAGAGTTCCACAAGGTAGACAGACTTGTAAATACAAATTTAAGAGGGAGACAGAGAAGAAGCCCTAGGACTGAACCCGGACACTCCAATATTTAGAAGTCTGGCAAAGGAAGAAAAACCATGAGAGAGTAAGAGTACAATATATCCAATAATAACTAAACAAGTATTTAATAGTTTATGATCTTGTTTACAGCTTAGTAATTGGAAATAAAATACCAATAAACCACCTCATTACATTCGCTGTGTGCTTGTTTATAATACTTGACAGCTCAAGCTAAGAGCATCTTCCTATCCCAGCTGTCCCTGCCAGTACAAGAGGGGTCAGGATGGGGACTGAGACTGTGGGCCAGTGAGAGGCAGCACAGTGACAAGGGTGTGGTGCACCACATCCTTGCTGGGGGCTGGGGCACATGAAGGTATAGACCAGTGGCCAAGAATGAGGGTGATGAAGGGCTGGAAAGACTGACCAAGGCATGGGCCAATGGGCATGGCTTCCAATTACATAGGCAATGAAATGAGGGCAGGGGAAACAGTGGTAGCAGACAGAGGAGGCAGCCAGCATGGCTCTTTTGGAGATTAGTTACACTGAGAAAAAGTGTAAATTTTAAGTAATTACTCAATTAAGTAAATTGAGGACATAAGTAAATATATCAAGGATAATGACAGTCAAGTTTCAGACTATGGAAAAAGTATTTATAAACAGGAAAAGGTTTAGGCTAGAAAAGCCCTAAGATATTAGAGTTGGAGGTATCCATATAAACTATGGTTTTAGAATATATATACACAGAGAAATAGTTACAAATATTTGTATTTGTACATACAACATACATATATTTCTTAGACCTATCCATTTGAGAAGGCCTACATGTAATGAAACCCCATTAGCAATGAACACACTGTATGGTCTACTCTTGGTTTCTGTTTCTGGATAACACCCTCAACTAAAAAGATGCAGGATTCCTTGGGGGAAATGGCTGATTCTAGGGCTGAGGAAGGACAAGCAAAAGCTGGGTCTGGCATAAACTGTGCCAGAAAGTAAGGGTAAAGGTGCCTGGGTGGCTCAGTCGGTTAAGCGGCTGCCTTTGGCTCAGGTCATGATTCCAGGGCCCTGGGATTGAGCCCCACTTCGGGCTCCCTGCTTAGTGGGGAGTCTGCTTCTCCCTCTCTCCCCAGCTTGTACTCTCTCTAATAAATAAAATAAAATTAAATTAAATTAAAAAATAAAATAAAATAAAACAAATAAATAAAAACTTGAAGGGAGGGAGGGAGGGAGGAAGGATGAATAAGCTCAGTGAATGATGGAAACATGAGTAACAGGCAGATGTCCCAGCTGGAAGAGTCTCCCACTCAGGAGGAATTTGAGCATCAAAATAAATAATGATAGTAATGGATTACAACCTATTGAATCAAATGGAAATCCAAAGCTCATTCTGGTATCAATGAATACATGAATGAATGAATGAAGGAGAAAGGATAGCTCTTCCACATACAATGCTAGTAAAAGCAGAAGATGATGAGAATTTAAAAATTACCATTTATATTTACCCACCATAGAGGTGGCTGATTCAGGTAGCTATCATTTATGGGCACTAAAGTCGATACATGGAGGTTTGGTGAAGAAGGGATATTGGTATAATCTTGAAATATCTTCCTGTGAAAAATGGATTGATTACAAAAGGGAAAATGGTAAATTTGAAATGGAGAGAACTGGAAGACACCCACACAGCTGGGTGATCAAGGTTGACCTTTGATATGATCAGCTGAGAAGAATGTATATATTCCTGCCATGAATTCCTTACCTAAGTCATGGGGAACTATCAGATGAACCCAGGAATTATCAGTCACCCTACAGATAGTAAGGCCTGTACTCTTAAAAGCTGTCAAAGACATGAAAGTGGAAGTAAAAAAATTGACTAAAGGAGTCTGAAAAGAGATGACAACTGAATGAAACACACATTGATGAATAGGAAAATAGACCAAGAAGGAAAAGGAGACTGGGCTGAGACAGTTGGTAAAATCTGAATGGGGTCTGTGGAATACATGGCAATATTATATTGTTCACACCCTGACTTGGAAGGATTATACAGCACAAAGTCCTGTTTTCACAAATACATGTTACGATGTTTAGAAGTGGTGGGACATCAGGGCTGAAGCTTTCTTTTAAAAGGTTCAGAGAAAGGCTAATTAGAGATGATGGCTACACAACTTATAAATATACAAAAAACCTCTGAATTGAAAAAAACAAGGAGAACAAAGGGATGAAAGAGAATAATAATGATTAGGGGTGTGTGTGTATATGTGTGTGTGTTTAAATGTAGAGATGGAAAAAATGCGGTAACGTTAAAAATGGGGGCGTCTGGGGACGCCTGGGTGGCTCAGTGGGTTAGGCCGCTGCCTTCAGCTCAGGTCATGATCCCAGGTCCTGGGGTCGAGTCCCGCATCGGGCTCCTTGCTCAGTGGGGAGCCTGCTTCTCTCTCTGCCTCTGCCTGCTTGTGTTCTCCTGTGCGCGCTCTCTCTCTCTCTCTTTATAAAAAAAAAAAAAAAAAAAAAAAAATGGGGGCGTCTGAGAAAAAGGAAATGATTCTTTATATCGTTCTGACAACATTCCTGTACTAAGTACTTCAAATTAAATTAAGTTTTTTAAAAGAGTGATTAGTATATGAAATACTCTAAAAGGGGAGGCTGCCCAAAACAGTACAAATTAAAACTAAGGTGTTTAAAACAGGTGTTTTTGTTTAAAACAAAAACATCAGTCTAATGCCCAACCTTCATGACTCCTAGCAAAGGCCTTATGCCTATGGTAAAATGTGAAGCAAAAGGCAAACTACAGTGAAACCAGCTTTCACTCCATCTGATACTAATAGTCCAGGACAATGTTTCAATAAAGAAGAAAGAAAATAAATATATTTATACATATTTATAAGATAAATATCTTTCTTCTTACCTGTTCTTTTATTCTCTAACCCATTTCTAACCATCCTATATTTCGTTCCATATAATCCTAATTTTACCCATAAATTTCCAAACTATCCTCTCTCAGATTTAACTTGGCACACATCAAACTACATCCCTAAAAAGACCTTGGATATTTTTAAAAACATTTTTACCTGGGTTGCGGGGGAGTGCCTGGGTGGCTTAGTTGGTTAAGTGATTTCAGCTCAGATCATGATCTCAGGGTCTTGGGATCAAGCCCCGCCTTGGGCGGGGGAGGGGAGGATCCATGCTCGGTGGGGAGTCTGCTTGAGATTCTCTCTCTTGTTCTTTCTCTGCTCCCTCACTGCCCCCCTTTAACTCTTTAAACTAAGAAACAATTTTTACTTGGGGGTGGTAGGTATGATCCTAGGCACACAGGAACTTAGAATGAGGAGACAACACAGATTTTATGTCATTAATTAACTGAAAGTCACTATACCATACCATCCTGGCTGTGAGAGATTTTATTAGTAATTTCATTTAAAGAAATCCTTCAGAGAAATCTAAAAGCCTAATAAAAACAAGACAGTTGCCCAACAATAAGGCCAATTCTAACCTTGCAAGGTCATGTTCAATCATAAATCAGGTAGGCTCTTACCTTGGCTACCCTAAGTAACATTTCTCTTTCCTCTAAATCCTTTCTCTGCTTCTCCAATTGATCCAGCTTTTCAAGAAATTTGAGCTGTGATCTGGTATCACTAGACAGGATGTAATTTTCACTTGCCTGGAAAAAAGAAAAAAGAAAGTCTTATGATTGTCCTAGCCAACACATTACACATTAGATCTTCTGAATCAGCTAATGACAATACCAACATACATAGGAAGCTAAATTCTCAGAATGTAACATTTATATTTCTGATAATACAAACAACAAAAAAGAACCTTAATCAACCTTAAAAGTTGAGAGGTAAGTAAGCATTTAAATTTCAGAGCTTTCCTAGTAGGCCTCATTCAGAGGGAAAAAAGGGAAGCCAAGCAGATCCTAAAAATAGGAAGTAGAAAGCAAGAGAGTGTAACATGTACTTATAATCTAAATCTTTTTAGTTAAATTACTGTCCATCTCTGCAGACCTTAGTATAATTAATTAAATCTTAGGCTTGTGAAAGACAAAACAAAAAACAAAAAACCAATCACTTCACTAAAAAAATACACCAAAGATGAAAGTTATCACTCTTGTTTCCATTGTTGGATTGGTCTAACCTTGACAAGTGAGTACATCTTCAATCAAAATGTAACATGAGACAAAATGGCAAACATTTAAAATCCTAAACCCTGTTTTGAGGATTCTTTTAAGCTATGAACTTGGGCAGAAATTATAGTCAAAGAAAGTAAGTATATAATTTATAAACGAGAGCCATAACAGAGAAGTATAATTATTTTTCTTAATTTGCACCATAAAATGATAAAATTTATAGTTTCATTTATTCTGATATTCTAGAGTATAAGACACTGTTTTCCAGTCTAAATATTTTGTAATTTTCTTCATCTGATAAAACCACCTATCTCTCCTCTCTAATACACATAAGAGGGTGGGGGGTGGGGTGCAGTGGTGGGCAATCTTCCCAATCAGCATTTAAGACATCCTGCCATCTAGTTATCTCAGTAATTCAGACATTTAGGCTATGGAATGGAGACTGGGGGAGACTGTATAATAGGAAAGCTGAATGTTTTTAAACATTTAGTCCAACAGTCAGTGCCTGGCTTAGAAATCATAGGTATAGCACCAATTCTATCTTTGTGTTATCCCATGCTTATGGTTGATTCAATTAACTGGGACCAAGAGATTTCATACGCCCAAGATTCCTTCTAAATTAAATTTTTATTATTGCTATTTAACTAGATCAAAAGAGTATTATGTAGTATAACAAACAAGGATGTATAGTGCTACTTATTTTAGTTCATGTTTAATACAAAACGAATTCTCAAATGTTTTCCAAGTTAAATAATACAAGATAGAATATGGAATACATTATAGGCCAACCATGAGGCATAAACATAATAACCAGTGGTTTCTTAAATACTTCATCTTTACCATGTTTGTGCTCAGATACTCTGGAGATATTTTATTGACAGAATTTAATTTTAAAAGGACAACAAACACTAAATTAAAAAGGGGCACAGACTTTGTAAAATTTAACCCAATATCATCCCGGTGCTAAGACCCTTTCTCCTTCTCCCAACTTGGATACAACTGTCTCTGGCTTAATGCATCCTTCCTTTATTCTTACGGATGCTAAACAAATGAGTGCCTCCCCTAATCCTACTGATTCCCCAACCTTATTTAAACAGTAACCCCACTCTTAAAACGCTGCTTCCTATCTACCAACCTGGTCTAACTGAAGTCTTTATATACCCCTAAATAGGGTGGTTTAACATTAAAAATGTAAGGACTCAGACAAAATGATAACAGAGCAAATCAAGTAAATCCCATCTAAAGAAAGCACTACAGGCCCTTTCAACTAGAAAACACTGAAGGGGCACCTGGGTGGCTCAGTCGGTTGAGCATTCAACTCTTGATTTCAGCTCAGGTCATGATCTCAGGGTCCTGGGATGGAGCCCCACAACAGGTTCCATGCTCAGTGGGGAGTCTCCTTTAGGATTCTCTTTCTCTTTATCCCTGCACCCCACAGCTTCTGCATGCATTCTCTCTCTCTCTCAAAAATAAATAAATTTAAAGAAAAAAAAGAAAAAGCAATGCTGAAGCTTCTCCATAGCCACTGGTGTGCAGAAGACTATACTATGCTTTTAGTGGGAAAACACCTGGCAACAAGATCAAAAGCTCTGTATTGCATGTGCCACTTTCTATTTCTTAAGTCTGTTTATGGACTATGATTAATTAGATAATTATACACATACACATGTGAAAGATTATCAAAAGTAGATGGATGTCAAATGCAAAGAGATGGTGGAATTTTGCTTTTGATAAAAGTAAGCTCGCTTTTGTGAAATTCGTGAGGTAAAATTTCCCACACTGTACAGATAAAAATAAATCCTATCAGGGATGAACTGAAATATAAGGACAGGGCTAAATCTGTGACACAATGATTATTATAATATCAAAGTCTACAAAAAATAAGTATAATTTTGAACTAGATCCAACTATAACTAAATGATTATTACTTCTTTTTAAAGAAGAATAATAATGTAGCTACAAATTCAGACAGTGGCATTAACTGTATTAAGGAATGAGTGTGGGGAAAGGCACGCTGGGGAAAATCAATCAGGATAGGCAGTGTACAAGAAAAAAGGTTAAGGAAGTGTTAGCTTTAAGCTAAGTTACTGAGGTTCCAGGTGGGGAAGATATTATCCATTTTGCCTAGGACAACTAAATCCTTAGAACATATGCTATTGATATACAATAGAAGGATTCCGTCTGAAAGCTGGAATACACGATAGAGATTTGGATGACACTTAGAACAGTAAGCCCTATTTGGAAAAGTTCTATTCCATACTAAATTGTACAGTTACATTTTATATAGAAACTGCCCATGATAAATAAAAGTGCCCTCACATATCTCTTAAAATACACAACTGAAGTGGCAATAGGGGAGAACTAGGTTTGAAAAATTTCTAAGACTTTTAAAAAGTTACAGTAAAAAGCTAAAAAGGAAGAAAATTTTCCCCACATCCCAATACTGAAGGAAAACTAATTATCGAGTCAAACTAGATGATTATTATAAATTTAGGATGTTAACTGTAATCCCCAAGGTAACCACCAATAAAATATCTAGAAAAGTATACATAAAAGGAAATGAGAAGGGGATCAAAATAGTACATAACAACAAAAATTACACCAAAAAGGCAGTAATAATGGAAATGAGGGACAAAAAAAAAAACAAAAACAAAAAACCAAAAAACTACTAAGGATACAGAAAAACAATGAAATAGCACAAGTAAGTTCTTGCTTAACAGTAATCATTTTACATGTAAATGGACTAAAGTACCCAATCAAAAGGTAGAGACTAACAGAATGCATAAAAAACATGATCAATTACAAGCTGTCTATAAAAGATTCACTTTGGATGAAAGCACATGAACAGACTAGAAGTGAAAGAGTGGGGAAAAAAATTTCATGTAAATAATAACCAAAAAAAGCAGAGGTGGCTATGCTAATATCAGGTAAAATAAACTTTAAGTCAAAAATTGTTAAAAGAGATAGAGATAAACAAGGGGTGCCTGGGTGGCTCAGTCAGTTGAGTGTCTGACTCTTGATCTCCACTCAGGTCATTAGCTCAGGGTCATGGGATAGGGCTCTGTGGTGGGCTCTGCGCTAAGTGGGGAGTCTGCTTGAGATTGTTTCTCTTCCTCCCTCTGCCTTGCCCCACCCCACTGTGACCCTCTCTCTTTTTCTCTCTAACAAATAAATAAATCTTTTTTAAAAAAGGGATAAACAAGGACATGATATATTGACAAAAGAGTCAATTCATCAAGAAGATATACATAACAGACAACACAGCCCCCAAATATATGAAGCAAACATTGACAGAACTAAAAAGAGAAATACAGTTCTACCATAACAGTTGAAGTCTTCAATACCTCCTTTTCAGTAAGAATACCTACACAGAATATGGAGAAGAAAATAGAGGACTTAAAAAAAAAAAAAAAGATTTTATTTATTTATTTGATAGAGGCAGCGAGAGAGGGAACACAAGCAGGTGGAGTGGGAGAGGGAGAAGCATGCTTCTCACTGAGCGGGGAGCCTGATGTGAGACTCAATCCCAGGACCCTGGGATCATGACCTGAGGCAAAGGCAGACGCTTTACCGACTGAACCACCCAGGTGCCCCAAGGACTTAATATTATAACCCAACTAGATCCACCAGACTTTTATTAACATTCCACCCAACAATAGTAGAATACATGTTCTGCTCAAGTGCACATCAAACATTCTCTTGAGAGACATCATATGTTAGGCCACAAAACAAGCCTACAGAAATTTAAATTGATTGAATCACATAAAGAATCTCCTCTGCCCATATGGAATGAAGCTAGAAACCAACAATAAAAGAGAAACTGGAAATTTCACAAATATGTGGAAACTAACCAACATACTTTCAAAAATAATGGATGAAGGATATCTCAAAGGAAATTAGAAAATACTTAGAAGTAAATGAAAACAAAAACACAATGTACCTAAACTTATAGAATGCAGCGAAAGCAGTGCTCAGAGGGAAATTGATAGCAGTAAATGCCTACATTAAAAAAGGAAGATCTCTGCTGTGAAATGTGTAAACCTGGCGATTCACAGACCTGTACCCCTGGGGATAAAAATATATTATATGTTTATAAAAAATAAAATAAAAAAAAAAAGGAAGATCTCAAATCAGTAACGTTTATACTCAAGGGAACTAAAATGAAAAATATAAGTGGGATCATTACTACTGACATTAGAGAAATAAAAAGGTTTGTAAGAAAATACTATAAACAATTGTATACTAACAAAATAGGACCTAGATGAAATGGACTAATTCTGAAAACACAAAAAGAAATAAATGATACTGTTTTTTTCCCCACAGCCTTTTCTCTTGATGACCACTTATTTTTAAGACAGTCCTGCAAATTCTCACAAAGATTTATATAAGTGAGGACCTCAGCAACTATAAATAGTTCTTCCAAAGTTCTAAATAAAGCAGAAAGTAGAGAAAATATAATGATTCCTCCAGGGAACTTACCAGTGATGTGGTAGCTGTTATTTCCCTGAGTTCCTTTGGGTAGGACATTGTGACAATGACCATTCTCACAAACTCAAATCCTCATAAGGTTACCCACATACCACATTGCACAAAATTGAGCTATCAACATTTCTTGGTATGGGGGGGAAAGGTTATCTTTTTTCTTTCTCATCCCTCATCACCCAATAAATTCGCTCTCCACCAAAACCATATACAGATAAATCAAGTCCTTTCATCATGATGATGGCAAGTGATTTGGTTCATACCACTAAAGACAAGACAGGCTATCCTTCCATTTAATTTGTTTAAAAAAGCAGGCAATGACCATAATGAGCAGCACCAGCATTAGCACTCAATACAATTATTTAACTCATTAAAAGGAACAACAGTGTTAACAGAGTACAGAGCACTGAACAGAACACAGCTATCCAGTATTCCATTCTAATATATTCTCCCTGCCAATCAAAAGCTGTAGGAAACGTCTCAGGCAGAACAGATGCATATCTCAATCTACACTGACACAGAAGCTTCGGATACAATATTAAGTTGTGTTAATTTTGTCATGTAAGCCTATCTAAATCAGGCAAATTAGGAATGAAACTTTAGTCTACCAATATGAACTATGTCTTGACCATTACCTTTAAACATATACTTAAAATATGAATCTATACCAAAATACTATCTTTAACATGACCAAGAGAAAAGAGAAGAGCTTGTACTTCTTCAATGATTTCCTTTACCTTGTAAGTTGTCATTCGATGCTGAGCAATTGTAGTCAGTTTTTCTAGAAGGCCTCGTAATCGCTCCTGTGTTGCATGGGAGATCAAGTTCACAGCATCAGAGTTAAGTTCTGTAATGTCATGCTTTTTACCTGTAGAAGCAGAGAAAATCCATTACGTGTTTTAGTAGTGGCTGATAATTGAAATAATTAGCACAGCAGGTATTCTGTTCCCCCTGGAAGTCATACCCATTATGAATAAAGGTTTGGAGATTATGATTTTCCTGGTGAAGTCACAACTTCAAAGATCTTAGACATTACATTAATAAAACCTAGCCTGAAGCCTCAGAAAATATAGACATTGTTTCACTTAGCCTCTAGAATCATTCTCCTTGCAAGGTCATTTATAGGACAAAGTTAATAAGAACACAAATCAAGTCTAGTGTTCAGGGAGGGAAATGGTAACTGCAGAAATTAGTGCCGTATTCTGCTAATTTTAGTAATTAAAAAAATAGAAAATTACATTTTGCCCTGTTTGACACTGTTAACGATTTACGACATTTATTTCAATGAATTCAGATTGTGGGTCTCTGTTACTGCCTTGTCTACAAGACATACCCACACTCCTTTTGTCCATTACCAATCATGCTTATTTTGTACTAACTCATGTTCTGATAAATTGACCTGGTAATTAATTCAAAAGTTGAAATGGGTTCAAAGCCTCATCATTTCACCCATCCATTTGAATGACTTCTCTTTTAATTAATAACCATTAATAACCTTCCATTAATAACCAAACTTCTATTCTTCTTTTGGCTAACTAGGAAGATTCAGGAAAACAACTTGCATCACATACCCAAAGGCAGAAGCTCATTTATAAAGCAACCTTATCAGTATTTACATAGCAATTTCTCAGTTCAGTGAAACCAACCTGTATCAACAGAGACCTAAATCTAAAGATATAGCCAAAGTTTAATTTAAATGAGCTTTTAAGAGTGTTACTGTGTTTACTTTTAACAAATACAACAGTTTGCTTCTGCACTCTCATCTGAAACATACTCATATACTCATCAAATTATGATTCAGTATAGCAAAAATAAGTTTTAATTAAAAGCCAACAAATCTTAAATACATTCTTTGACATCATTCCATAATAAATGTTAAACCTCAAAGTGTAGGCTATAGGATATGAGGGCTATCTGGCTGTGACATCTGTCACACCACGATCGCCAGGGTGGATCTGATTGATCTGGTTGCCAAGGCGCAGGCCCCTTCTTCTCTCATTGTTCCTTGTGCATCCCTCCCAAAGCTGTGTGCTCCCTTGAAAAGAACGACCTTCCTAGATAGAGGAAGGCCATTCTTTGGTCAAGGGTATGTAAGTAGCTGTGTTCCCCTATTAGAACCTCCAAAGTAGCTCTCAGGGTCCAAAATGCAGCTTATGGTAAATCAGACAGGATGAAGATACAAAATTATTTAGTTTCTTCTAAGCCAAACCTTCAAAATACAGTTTGTTACTGTCTAGCAAGACTGAATTCATCACCAATTTTAGATTCAAGCAGGGAAAAGACACTACAAAGTCAAATCTACTCAACTACAACTATTAGCATACATAAATAGTGAAGGCCTGCTACATAAGGGGCACAATTACAATACCATCCAATGATTAAAATCACAACTAAACATAGGGTAGCTGACCTGTCAGTTCATGCTTAAAGGAAAGAAAATGAACATTTAAAAATATGTAGTGTTTTGGAGGGAAACTTTGAAAATAATTTCATATGTATTTATAAAATAGTTTATCCTATATAGAAGAAAAATTCGTACTTTAAAAATATTAGAAATAAACAAGGGTAGAGATTTGCAAACAATTCCAGGGTTTAGTGAACAATCAAATGTTCTAATATCTTTACTACACTGCTAATAAAGTATGACAAAGTTACCAAGTTAAAATACTATAAGAAAAATTCCTACTTTTTTTTTAAAAATAAGATTTTATTTATTTATTTGACATGGGGAGTGGCAGAGGGAGAAGGAATGAGAGAGAGAGAGAGAGAGAGAGAATCTGAAGCAGACACCTTGCTGAGCATGGAGCTCAACCAGGGCTTGATTCCACGACCCTGAAATCATGACTTGAGATTAAATCAAGGGTCAGATGCTTAACTGACTGTGCCACCCAGGTGCCCTCCCAAATTCCCATTTTTAAATAAAAACACTCCAAGTCAACATAACTGATGAAAAAAAATCTAGCTGCTGCTTTTAAGATTGTTATGTGATTTTATAGAATGTCTGTGTAATTTAATTTAGGTAATTAGCAAAAAAGGAAGAATATGGCATGTTTACTCTCCCAGCATTATTCAAGTAGAAAAACCTTCCCCCCAAAATTCTTTGGGTTAATTTCTAATTTCTGTGATTAAAGAACAGTCCTGGTTCTGAGCTGTTCTGTAAAGATGGAATTTTACTACAAATGAAAACATTCCTAGAAATACATAACTACACTCACTCTATAGTTTTGTTTTTTAAAAAGCTTAGGTATTTCAGAAGTAAGAAATTTTGCAATTTTCCGTTTTATTAAACAAGTTTGTGCTCAATTATTAAGGACTGAAAATACCAAATAGTTACTCCCAGAATTCTCCTTGAAAGCAGAGGTTGGCAAACTAAATTTGATCTCTTTTTGTATATAAAGTTTGATGGGAATATAGTCTGGCTTATTTGTTTATGTATTTTCTATGGCTGCTCTTGAGATGTAACAGAGTTGAGTAGTAGTGACACAAACCACATGACCCACAAAATAGCAAATATTTACTCTCTGGCCCTTCACAGAAAAAAATTGCCCATCCCTGTCCTAAATGCCCAAATTGTTCTTTCAATGCTAAAAACTTTCCCATCATATAATCAAAGTGTAAGTCAAGCTAGAAATAAAAGTTCTCGGGGGAGGGGTGGTGGTGGGAACTGATAAAGCGAAGTATTTACTTCCACTCTATGAAAACACTAGATCATTATATGGTTACACGGAGTCAATACCAATAAGCTTCCCAAGGAAGCTAGTATCACAGGAAAGTATCATGCTTGTTCCAAAATTACAGAACTGGTTCCTGTACAGTACGCAATACATATTCAAAGAAAAGACTGAAAGAGGGAGTAAGAAAGAGAGGGAAAGGAAAAAGGAAAAGGAGTGAGGAGGGGGGTTGGGAGAAAAGTCAAATAAGACACCAGCAAACATTTTACCATCAGCTCTTCTGAATTCCTATCCTTTTGGACTGCTTATAAATTTGTTTTTTGTAATAAAAGAAAGATAACAGAGGGGCTCCTGGGTGGCTCAGTCAGTTGAGTGTCCAACAACTGACTTTGGCTCAGGTCATGATCTTGAGGCCCACTGCTGGGCTCAGGGAAGAGTCTGCCTGAGATTCTCTCTCTCTCTCTACCCCTTACCCCACTCACACACACATATTCTCTTTCTCACTCTAATAAATAAATCTTAAAAAAAAAAAAAAAAGGAAAGATAACAGATACCCAAGTTAAGTTAGAAATTTAAAAAATGGTAATTTGTATAGTATATAGTAGGAGCTCTAACATTTCTTTATTCTGTGAAATAGATTTAAAATATGTAATAGTAATGTATTGTAGGTCTTAAAAATATTATGGGTGTAAATCAGAAATCAGAAACCTTCACATTTTTGTGGTAGGGCTTCAATATAAAATATAAAAATCCTTACTGAAGTATACTCAAAAGTCACTAGTATTGACCTCCCAATTTGATATGGGTGATGAAGAAGGTACTCCAAGAAGTCCCAGGGTTAGGACACATGAAATGAGATAATTCACATGCAATAATCTCTCTCCAAACTGTCTTGGTTTTTCAGTCAATGTGGGGAGAATGTATTCTTTCATGTTTCTGAAAGGTTTGGTATTAAACAACAAAAAAGCTGTGTGGCTCCAGAACAAAACTGGAACATTCTCTCCCATTTCCTTCTATACACTGCAGCCACTTAGGAACTACTTGTGGACCTAGGGAGAAACCCAGTATTTTAATTTAGTTCTTTTAGGGCAAGGATGAGTTTGAATTTCAGGGTTGAGAGAAGAAAAAAGGCACTTACTCTCTATATCTATGTTTCACAATACTTGGCAGTTAGATTTCATAAACATGAACTTGTAGTGTATGTATGTATTTGTATGCATACATGCCTAGTCCAACCAAGAAAGGCACAGGACAGAAAAAAAAACAGTACATCATATGTACAAATTCAAAGGAACAGAGTGGCGCAGTGGAAGCATGCTGGGCCCATAAGTACAAATTCACTTAAAAAGTATGTATCTTTCTCCCACTAAGAAATATAAGTAAATATTAACTTCTATTATCTAAACCAGAAACTATAGGATATGATTTAATTTATGTTAATAGTTTTTAAAACAAAGTATTTCTTTCTATAACACCCATGAAACCTTGATTTTTTCCAGAGCCTTATTTAAGCCCAAGTTCCAGGAAAACCAACCCAGGTTATCTCTTTTGGTAACACTTTCCCTAGAACAGACAATCCTCTTAGGTCAATAATCCAGGGTGCCTGGGTGGCTCAGTGGGTTAAAGACTCTGCCTTTGGCTCACGTCATGATTCCAGGGTCCTGGGATCAAGCCCTGAATCACTCTCTCGGCTCGGCAGGGAGCCTGCTTCCCTCTCTCTTCCCCTCTCTGCCTGTCTCTCTGCATACTTGTGATCTCTGTCAATTAAATAAATAAAATCTTAAAAAAAAAAAATAGTAATCTTAAGTCTGCACTTACCAATATCTAAAATTCTCTTTTGCAGAGCTCCGATGAAAAGAAATGGTTCGTCTTTACATGACTGTACAAGTGTGCCAACTAGTTCAGAGTTTGTTGCTAAGATGCAGGCATTTTCTTCACTTAGGTTGACCCCTGCCATGGAAGTCACATCATTGATGTCATCTTCATCTCTAAGAGAAAAAAAAGACAGCTTTTTGGTGGTGGTGGTGGTTGGTGATGTGTATATATGAATGATTTAGGAGCGCAAAGAATTACAGATCTCTCCTTATAACTAAATACATTATTTTACTCAACTCATCCAAGCAAGAGAACTGAAGAATAGCTATCTTTCCCTGGATGCTTTTAAAAATTAATTGGTGTGTCTAACCGCTAGTGTACATTTAATATCAGAGAGATGAATCAGAAGCAACTTTGTCTTCTAGTGTCCATCTCCCCATCTTTCAGTTTAGTAAATGGATACACCAATAGGGATGTGGGGGTTAAACTAAGTTACCCACAAATGCCCTGCAATGAAAGACAAAGAAACAAAAACAGACTTCTTTGTTTTCATCCGAGATGATTAAAAGCCCATCAGACTTCCCCAGTGCACTCTACTGTTCCATCAAAGATCAGGAAAAATCCAATGGTTCTGAAAGATCCGTACTCACATGAAGACCTTTGAGAAGAAGCTTTCTTGACTAGTTATTCTGAAACCAAATAGTTAAAACTAGTTTTGCTTTTCTGCTTCAGACTTTTGGTGTGTTCCACCTGTACCAATTGAATTCATTAAACTCATCCTCAAGCAAACGCCTGCAAAGGATCTACATATAAAATTACATCACACACACACACACACACACACACACACACACACACACACACACACACATATATATATCACAGAATATGTTTGAGCTCCTTGCATTGCACCAGCAAAATTAGTTGTTTTTATCTAACAGGACTGCTAATGGCTATAGTGATAAGATCAGTATGTATGTTTAAGGATAGGGAAGAAAGAAAATACAAAAATTCCCTCATAGCATCCTTATCACCCTATGTAATAACAAGTATGTTACTGATCATAACTTACCTACCAATGGATAACATGATTTACACAAACATGATTATATAAAAAAAAGATGTTGCTTCTTTTTATTGCATGAGCCAAATGGTATATCATGTGGTCTCACGTCAACAGATTTAAATTATGAAACTCCCTGTGGTAATGCATTTGTGCACAAGAAAGGAAAATAAATTGTAATTGTCAAGCACTCAGGAAATTAAGGTCTCTGGTGTTCCGCTTTAAAAAGCAACACATTAAGGGTGAAGGGGAAAGAGTCCACGCTCAAACATATATAAGAGATTAAAAAAAAAAAAAAAACCTAAGTAAAAGAAAGAAAGAGCTAGACACAGCAGTTAGGAAGTGAAGAGCTAGAACAATGGTCTTATAATCTGAACAGTGGATTTAAAAGTCTACCATTAAAAGGTGTGTCTTTATGAAGGGGAAAAATTTTTTAATTTAGTATCTCAAACCACCAAATAAAACATGCAATACAAAGAAAGTATACCAAAATGGTTGGACTCCAACATATCAAATGTCACAGAGGTATTGTCAGAAGTATGGATGCTGAAAATGGCTCTAAGAATCATTCTGCCACCTATGTAAATAAAGTATTTCCAGAAACATCTAAACAATGTAAATATCTGGGGCACCTGGGTGGCTCAGTTGGTTAGCGAACTGCCTTCAGCTCAGGACATGATGCTGGAGTCTTGGGATCGAGTCCTGCAACAGGCTCCCTACTCAGTGGGGAGTCTGTTTCTCCCTGACCCTCCCTCCATCTTGTGCTCTCTCTGTCTCATTCTCTCTCTCAAATGAATAAATAAAATCTTTAAAAACAAACGAACAAACAAACCCATGTAAACATCTAAAGTGTAAGAATGGTAAAAACCGTAAACCCAGAGATCCAAATTAAAAAAAAAAAAAGGTCTTAGTTAAAAAAAAATCATTTTACAGATTTTTTTTTTAAATTATTTATTTGACAGACAGAGATCACAAGTAGGCAGAGAGATAGGCAGAGAGAGGTGGGTGGGAAGCAGGCTCCCTGCTGAGCAGAGAGCCTGATGTGAGGCTCAATCCCAGGACCCTGGGATCATGATCTGAGCTGAAGGCAGAGTCTTCAGCCCAGTGAGCCACCCAGGTGCCCCAGTAAAAAGTATTTTTAATAAAACTTGTCTCATGGGCTCCTGTTGAGCTGAGTTGATAGAGCATGTGACTCTTGATCTTGGGGTTGTGAGCTGGAGCCCCATGTTGGGGGTAGAGATTACTTTAAAAAACAAAATCAAAAAACAAAAAACAACCCCCACTATGTGTCAACAGAATGAAAAGAAAAGCCACAGACAAGGAGAAAATACTTGCAAAAGATATCAGATAAAGGACTGTTATCCAAAATATATAAAGAACTCTTAAAACTTGAAAGAAAACAAACCAATTAAAAAATGGGTCAAATACCTAATAGAGGCCTCACTAAAGAAAATATACAGATGGCAAATAAGCATATGAAAAGATGCTCCACATCCCTGTCATCAGAGAAATGCAAATTAAAATGAGATACCACTATACATCTATTAGAAAGGCCAAAATCCTAAACACTGACAACATCAAATGCTGATGAAGATATGGAGCAACAGGAACTCTCATTCGCTGCTGGTAGTAATGCAAAATGGTACAGCCACCTTGGAAGACAATCTGCAGTTTATTATAGAACTAAACATACTTTTACTGTACAGCCCAGCAATCATTTTGCTCGGTATTTACTCAAAACGAGTTAGAAATTTATGTCCACACAAAAACTTATACATGGATATTTAAGGTAGTTTCAGAGATAACTGACAAAATTTGGAAATAGCCAAGATGTTTTTCAGTAGCTAAGTGTATAAATAAACTGTGGTACATACAGACAATGGAGCATTATTAAGGACTAAAAAGAAATGAGATGTCACAATATGAAAAGACACAGAGGGGAACTTAAATGCAAATTATAAAGTGAAAGAAGCAATTTGAAAAGGCTACATACTATATGATTCCAACTACATGACGTTTCTGAAAAGGCAAACTATGGAGGCAGAACACAGAGAATTTTTATAGTAGTGAAACTACTCAGTATGATACTATGATGTTGCATACACATCATTATACATTTGGGCTTTTTAAAGACTAATTTATTTATTTGAGAGAGAGGAATAAGGGGGAGGGGCAGAAAGGGAGAGGGAGAGGGTAAGTAGGTTCCCCGCTGAGTGTGGAGCCCAAAGTAGGGCTCAATCTCATGACCCTGAGATCATGACCTTAGTTGAAACCAAGAGTTAGATGCTTAACTGACTGAGCCACATAAGTGTCCCTCACTATACATTTGTTAAAACCTATAAAACGTACTGCACCCGTAACAAACTGTAAACTATGGGCTTTGGGAGTTAATGACTTGTCAGTGCAGGTTTGTCAACTATAACAAATGGATAACTATGGTAGGGGACGCTGATAATGAGGGAGGCTATGCATGTGTGGGATTAGAGGGAATTCTCAATCTTCCAATCAATTTTGCTGTAAACTTAATCTGCTTTAATAAACAAAAGCTATCAAAAAGAAAAAAAAGGTTAACTACACATTAATGACATCATTACAAAACAGAAACCCAAGCAGTTACTTAACTCTTTAGGATTCAAATTTTTCCTTTAAAAATGAGTAACTTAGATTAGGCACTTTCTAAAGTCCCTTTTAGCCACTTAAAAGAATGAGGCAGCTCTCTTTGGCCGGATACAAAACAACTGCCAGGGTGTACTATGAAGTGGAGGAAAAAAATGAGGAAAAAAGACTGCCTCTTGGGAGAAAAAAAAAGATATATACACACACACATATGAGCATAACATATCTCTGGAAAGATACATGAGAAAAAGGGAAGTGGGGATAAGAAAGACTTTTTTAGACCACAGAATATATACTCTTTTCTACCCCTTTATGTTGTACTATATACCCCATTATGTTGTACTATATATGTACTATATATTGATTACCCAATCAAAATGATCAGTGATATTTTTAAAATAGTAAATAAATATTTAGGAAAAGAAAACTGGAAATAGAAAATATGATGAAGTTTAGACATATAACCCCAATATACCCTTGAAAAGAAAATCAGGGAGCACCTGGGTAGCTCAGTGGGTTAAGCCTCTGCCTTCAGTTCAAGTCATGGTCTCAGGGTCTTGGATCGAGCCCTGCATTGGGCTCTCTGCTCAGCAGGGAGCCTGTTTCCTCCTCTCTCTCTCTCTCTGCCTGCCTCTCTGCCTACTTGTGATCTCTGTCAAGTAAATAAATAAAATCTTTAAAAAAAAAAAAAGGAAAAATCAGAATTGTTGATATACAAAACATGGCCTTTACACATATGCACACAACACTGAATGTTTAGAATCTCGGATGTTTGTCAGGTACATGGGCCCTATAAACTGCAAATTGTTTCCATAGGAGAGTTCCTGCATAACTCCTGTTGAGATCTCACACACGGCCTGGAGAGACCAGTACCAAGCATATGTACTACCAACACTTAGCACAGTACCAGAATTGAACAGAATTCATCAATGAGGAGACAGTCCCATATTTTTAAGAATCTCCTTGCACCTCTTCTCTGAAATGAGCAAGGAGCTAATTGCTCAGTAAGATTTGTTCTTGCCTGCCTTCCCTCCCACTTGGCCCCAAGATGAACACAGCTCCCTCTAGTACAGCTGTCAATTGCTATGGTTACAGTGGGCAGCAGGAATACAGGAAGATCCCCACTGAGGGAAGAGGAAAAGGTGCCACAATAAATAGCACCCAAGCCATTTAAAACTTCCTCTAAGAAAGGAGGCAGACTGAAGGAAAGAAAAGTCAACACAGTGTAGTACGATCATTACCAATAAGGCTAAGATAGGTCAGACAGTATTAAAGGCATTGATGTTGAAGCATAGTTGTGATTCTAGTTTGGTTTTAATTCCAAAGGAGAAGAAAATGAGAGTCTCCAAACTGTATCTTCAAGTCTTCTGGTCTAATTTAGTGTCTTTTGATGAAGATACTGTGCAAAACAATTTGTTTTGTTTCAAAAGATATACAATAAGGTAATTCATTTTTTTAAAAGATTTTATTTATTTACTTGACAGAGACAGAATG